TCCGCTTTAGTGGGCATGACTGGGCTCCGTCCAACAGTTAGATCCGTCCCCACGTGGCTGGCCTCTCCCCGCCGTCACTGATAGGATGGGCAGCGCACACACCTGCAGGTAAGCTTTACCCCTTTACGGTCACCCCTTCGCTCCTTCTCCCGATGACTTGGTGGACGGGCGACGTATCGACCGAGTAAGGAAAACTGAATAAATCTCCTCTTAACACCTAGCTAACTTCATCCTCCCCCCATGTCCGTTCTTCCCGCAGAAGGAGGCTGCTTTCGCCGGCCCGTCGAGCAACGCACTTGGCGACAGGTAAATCCCCGGCCCCACTGCTGCCCTTCTTCCGGTGCTCCTGCCCGACTTCGCTAGCCAACAGGTGAGCTTCCGACCCCGCCGCCCGAGCTCGCACCTCTTCGACCGGTACGACGAGAAGACTCTAATGAACCCCTCGCAGAAAGTCGTCCGGGTACGTGCGACCCTTTCCACTTCTCTCTTACTTGCCCTCTCTCACCTCACACGCTCCTCCCTCCACTAACTTTTAGCTTTCACCATCCTACCCTCGAAGCTGACATAGTCATCAAGATCGTCCTATCAACCCTCCATCCCGGGCTTTACCGTACTCGATTCCGTTACGAATCGTGTGGTATCCCGGCCTACCCCCTCACCTTACCTCCCCTCACGCCATGCTTTCGCGCAGCTGCCGTTGTCCACACCGACCCAGCCGTGCATCTGACTCCGGATCCAACTCCGTCGCCGCACTCGCGGTGTCGTAAGACCCCAATTTCGACCCCCTCCCCGCTCGAGTTCGTCAGGAGTCGGGAGGTTTCAGCGTTTTTCTGCCCTCCCGTCTATGCTCACTCCTACCGTGGCTAGTTCCTCCTWYGTATGCACCTGCGCGGTTCTCCCGTCCCGGTTCGTCCTACTCTCACCACCTCGTCGGCCTCATACTRTGGCCCGCCACCTGCGGCGCACCACCCCGGCCCCCGAACGCACCCGGCGCCTGCCTCCGCCCGGGTCCAACCTCCCGGTAGTAGCCCGTTGTTTCCTAGCCCGCCTGTCCTTCACTCCCAACCTACCTCTTCTCTTCACCCGAACTCTTCGACGGGCACCGTGGTACACAACTCCTATTTCACCATAGCCACGCGCAGTCTTCCTTCTTCTTCCCTCTCCTCCTACTACCCTACCGCCGTGCTTAACACCGTCATACAAGTCGCCCGGGGTAAAAAAAATCCGAAGTGCCTCCTTCCCTGCCCAGTTTCGTCACAGAACGGGCGGGTTGCGACTCCTATCCCTCTTCCACTTTCCGCCATCTCCTGCCTTTCAACCCATGTTGACGTCCGCCCAATATCCTACCCGTACCTAACGCACCGCACTCGGAATAGCGCACTCCGGCCTTGTCACGCAACGCACGGACCGAGAAAGAGAGTACGAGAAACAGTCACCCGAGCGACTTTAAAACTGAAGAAAAACCAATTCCGCCTACCCCGTATATACCTGTCCGCATCTACCAGTATCTGGCTCAAATCAATGCCAGATTCACTTCCCTCTTGCGCAGGGGTCGTGCTAATTTCCTTTGTATCATTCCAAGTTTTGGCGGATGTCCCGAAGGACCTCGGTCGTGGCCACGCCCCGCGCCCCCTCGCAACCCGATGCTTTAGAGCCACCCAGCCTCGCGGGCCTGTGCACGGATCTGGCCCTCCTTCGAGGGCGGGTTAAGACAGACACCCCCACCGTATACCACAGGCCTTAGCAGTGACAAGCACCCCGGGTCCGCTAGCCCCCCACCTTGTTTTAACGGATACCCCGAAGGGCTAGCCACAGTAGTGTCACACCCGCGGCCCTTCAAGACCCGAGCACCCAACCACACTACCGCAAAAATAATAAGAACGAAAATAATATAATAACATACATAAAACGAAAAAAATCCTAAACCAGGGGCGGGAACCGCCGGTACCCCCGGTTCCCGTAGGCCAGGTCCGTCGCTCGCGCCTACTAGCAAAACCAAGGGGGAATTGCCTCGTCAGGCCCTCAACCCGTTCAGTTTTCTTCATGACGCTCCGCCGCTGCCACACCGATGCCCGCCGACCTCGATCCTGAAACCTCCGTAGCAATAGTCCAACAACGTAACCTATAGGGCAAATGAGCGCGGACCTCAATATGAAGTGGTGTCGCGCCACGCCCCGGCCTGGGAGCCACAGCCTAGGCCTTCCTTGCCTACTGCTGCCGGCATGCCAACATGAGGTACCCGCGCCAGCCCGCTTGGACCGCGCCGTGGCCGCCCCGTGCACCCACTGGCGTGCCCACCGTCGATTGTGCATGCCAACCCAAAAGCGAGCTCTCGTCCGCTAAATAAGGTCGTAGCATGGTCCATGTCGGTCAACTAAGTCGGCCGCTCACTCAATCAGAAAAATCACACGCGCGGCTTAAAACTGCGCGCCCAGATACCCTCTAACCTTAGTCAGGACGGGTCCCGGACGCAGCCGTACCTCGCCCGACTTATACCGACCAAGCCCATTCTTTTTTCTGTCACTTGCAAAAACCAGGGCGGATACCCTTGTAAGGGTATTCGCGCCGAAAGCCTGCCGGACTATATTAAGCGACGTCCCCGTCGCTACGCCAAATCAGAAGCTATAAATTCATCCATACTCCAAATGCTGACGAGAATGAAACCAATCCGATTAGCCAACAGACTCAGGGTTGAGGCCTCCAACACTCCATGCCGACATAACTATATGCTGTCAGGGTTTCAACCTGGGTCTCCAGTGTCCTGGCGCTAGGACGCAGGGGTATTACTCATCAATACTACAGCATAAGTTCCACAGGCCACCTCAAACCGCCTTCTCCCCTTCGTCCTAAACAAACGCCGACTTTTCGTTGGGTGTCCCAGTTAGACTCTCTCTCGCAAGCAGAGTCATACGGGGATGCGGACCTTAGACGAGACCTTAGAAGGCACTCTCGCCTTCCTCGCAAAAATCCTCGCAATCAACATATATATATATATATAAATCTCCTCTCATCCCTTTCTGCAGCCTAGTACAGAAACGCTCGGTCTCCATCCTGGTCCACCATAGTCTGGTTGATCGAGCCAGATCTACGACCTACCGCATTGTTATCTTAGCGGTGGTCCCTTCGTTGGTTACGCAACGATAGGTTTTCTCCTGATAGGCATTCAATCAGGGCGCCCAAACGACTCGACTCGTATCCCCTGCCATTCCACCAGAGTAATTTCTTTGGGGCGTGCATAACCTCTTAAACTCTTACTCTGTTGGTAGACGTGGGCCCGCAGCCAGGTTGTGCTGGCTTGCAGCCATCCAATAGGGGTTGCGCCCTGAAGGTGCTAACCTTTACCGTTTAGCTTGGTATTCCCTAATATGCCTTGGGATTAACACAGGTGCCTAGACGGTGCGTCACAAAACAAACTCACAGGGCCACTGCGGGACAACGCAGGGCCCCTTCTCACAATCACAAACAATTTCACCGCTAGACTCACACGAGGCCGTGGCCTACTGACTTGATCAGAGACAGCAGACCACACATCCCATGACATCTTTATGCAATGACTTGCGACCTTCTCAGTTCCACCAATGATTCCAACTCGTAACCCTGGTTCCTCTCGTCAGACTTTATCATTCAAACATTGCTTACCATGTCCTTAAATCTATCACCCATTTTTCACATGAAGGGGGTCTCTCCTAACAGGTCTCCCAACCACCCCTGTCTTTACAGGATGGACTATCACGTGACCTGGGTTACACTGCAGTCAATAAACAACATCCCCACCTTCCATAATCCGAGGGGTCTCAATTATAGAACAACTTAACTGAGGGGCCTTCTTATGGGCCGTCTCCCCAACTTAAACGCAAAACAACTCAAACTAAGGGGCCAACTTATGGGTCCCCTTCACAGCTCAGCCATAAACATCCGGCACGGTAAGCATCCGAGCCTTATAGGCTCGCAAGACCCCTCAGGGTCCTCATGCATCTGTCACAAAAACCGACCGCGCTGCCTCCTCTTATACTCGGCCGTTCCGCCCGCCCATGGGCAAGCCGCACGAGTATACCGAAGAGTAGACGACAATCACAATCACACAATACACATACATGAGATGTATCCCACACATCTCTCACACAAAGCCCTCATTCATTGGGATAAAGCCACACGTGTGAGAGTGATCGTGATCGTGACAATAATAAGTCCCACAGAGTCTGGAATCAAAGATATACTCGGGAGCAAAATATCTCCCTGGAGTCTCAATACGATACTAAACTCAAACCCTCAACACACAACTCGTAAGGTGTATTTGGGAACAAAATGCCTGCCCCGAAAACACTCAAATACTCACTCCACCGTCTCACTCCGCAGGATAACTCACGTCCCAAGTGTCATGGACTCTCAGAACCTACTCAAAGATACAAATAAGAGTATCTGAATCACACAACTGAAAATGCAAGTCACATATGTCGTAGATATCATACAACTAAGTCTCATCCTCTAGACCGTATCACATATAAAGCTCGAACCGATCACACACCGCCACCTATGTATACACGACTAGACGGGACTCGCCTGACTAACTCAGAGTATGTACACCCCTATCACGACCTCTGCGTACAGAGGAACTCTAATCCTACTGTCATATAGATGGACCAGCCCCTACTCACTCATAGCCTCCTGGTTTTGTCTATATAACTGTGCCCTACCCCCATCTGGAGCCCGCTCTTCCACTCGCCCTTGCCTGTCGTACATTCTCCCACCACTCTTTGTTACTCTCCTAGCCGCCTTGTCCTTAAGGAACTTCTGGCATTCAAGAGCTCTACGTACGTCGTCCTTGCAGAAGAAGCACTGATCGTCTGATCTCCCTCAACACCTCCTCTTCTTCTTCTGGGACCCAGGCAACGGCGGTGTCTCGGTAGTTTCCCCGCTCATCTCATGGCTTTGGGGCATACTCCATGACTCTGCCGGCCCCGCCTCCATCATCTGGGTACTCGGCCCTTCTAGCGCCTCACCTCCCTCGGGCCGGTACGCTGGAGTGTCCAATCTCAGTGGCCTACCCTCGCGGACTCCTCCCATCGCAGCCGCCTCCTCGTCCCTATGCCGGTCAGAGGGCTGGGGAGTCACGGCAGTCGCTGGCTCGCTCATAACTTCTTGCTGCTGCTCTGAGATGTGCTCTCCTGAGTCAGCTCCAGTAGCCCAAGAGCCTAACTGTGTCCTCAACTCCCCTATCTCTGGCACACGCTCTGGGGTCTTCTGTCTCTGATGCTCTCCTGACGGCATGTCCAACTCCATAGCTGCCACTAACATATCCAGTCGAGATGCCGCTCCCCCCATTGCCTCTGGCTCAGTGGATGCTGCTACTCTCACAAGGGCACCCTCCTACACCTCCAAAAGGATCGTAGGGGACTCCTCTGTGGGGCCCCCTTCCTCCACTGGAGGTTGGGGTCCCTGCGCCGGCTCGCCCTCAGGGATCTCAATCGTTATAGGGGTGGCCTGCTGCGAGGCCAACTCCGTGGGAGTCCTGAAGCTGAACCTCCTCTCCTTGGCCTCCCGCCTCGCTGCCACCTCTGCTGGGTCCAGGAATACCTTCCCCATTCCCTCTTGCTGTGGTGTCTCCGTCGTTCCTTCCTGGCCAAAGAGCCCCTGTACCTTCTTCCCCTGGATACCATACCGACTCTGCTCCGTCCAGTCGACCACCTTAGTGGTCGAGAGCCTTTCTACTATTGCCGCCATGTCCTGAAGCCTCTTCTCCCACTCCGCCTCCTTAGCTTCCATGCGGGTCCTCCACGCCTCGTTCTCTGCCCTCTCTTCCGCCAACTGGGAGGACAACTGCCCCACTTCTAACCTCGAGGTCGCCAACTCATCGTTGAGCATGGAGTACTGCTGGAAGGACGAGATTGCCACCTCACCTATCCTCCTGTCTGTACGCTCCATCTCCATCCTGGCGGCTAAAAATCCCATGTCCTCTGTCTCTCGTGCCTCGTCCAATCTTGCACTCCCCTGTCCTACCTCTTGCGACCTCAGGCGAGCCGCATCCCTCTCGCTCTCATAGCTGGCCCAAGCCTCACTAATCCTCTGCTCGCTCGTCGGAGGGTCAATTGGCGGCTTTGGCGCTTCTCCTGAGGCCTTCATCCTAAGCTTTTCCTGGTATAGCTCTTCGAGGTGTACCTGCACCCTCGCGTGCTTCTCTTCTTTCGTCTCCCCCGGTGGCCTCCCTGTCCTCGCCTCGTGACCCTCTCGCAATGGATCCCCCTCACTTGTCCCCTCCTCTGCGGGTGGCGGCCCTGGCGGAGGCTCCCCGGATGTCAGCACCTCCACATCCATGCGTGCACCGGTAGACTCAGTTAGTTGCGGCGCCACAGTAGTAGGTGCCCTCGCCCTCTCGCCCCCCTCTGGCTTCGCCTGCGTCAGGGGTGGCGTAGTAGCTTCCGGTGAGGGCCCCAACATCTCCTCGCTGTTCGGCTCAGGAATTCCTTCAGGCCAATACTGCCGCGCCTATTCTGGAATCGGGGTAGGAGGAGGGGTATCATCCCCAACAGTGATAACCCCCTCAGTCTGCGGCTCCTCGGGTTCGCGAGACCCCGCCTCAGGCCCCGACTCATGTGGCTCGTCTCTGGCTCATCCTCCATTGGCTCATACCGTGTCGGTCCGCTCTGGTCCGCTCCCCGCTGTGACGCCCCCCACTGGGACGCATCGAGATGAGCCTCCAACCTATCGAGCGGCGTCCTCAAGGGCACCGCCCCTCCCCCCCTGGTAACGTCGGCGACGGGCTCCGTAGATCACTGCCCGTGATTCGGCGAAACTCCACCTGCTCGAGCCCATAGGTAGGGGGTAGCTTCGCCACCTGAGCTGGCCCCGCGGCCTGAACTGGCTCCACCGCCTCGGCGGCCTCTGTTGGCCCCTCTCGCTGTGCCAAGGCCTTTCGGCCCCCTGTGGCCGTAATGGCCCCTCTCGCCTCTGGGCCCCGTGGCCTCTTACTCCTTTGTCGTCTCTCCACCTTGGGCTCTGGTCTCTCGGGCTCCAGTCATTGAAATGCCTGTCTCAACTGGGCCTAGCAGTCCTCCCAGTCGTGTGCCCTGTCCCGGGTCTACCTCGCCAATGACCTCTCTGCCCTCCGTGTCCAGAGGGGCAGCATCTGCATCCACTCCTCCTGCCCAGTCCCCTGGTCGCGCATATACTGCTCATAGGCCGGGATGAACTCCTCTGCATTGCCTTCCTCCAATCGAATAGGCAATCCATCCGGTCCCATCGGCGAAGCCCTCAGCATCTGCATCCTCGCCTCCACATCCTGCCATGTCAACGCCTCCTCTCGAATGTGCGCAATAGGCTCCTCGAAGCGCCCAACTCCCCTCAGGTGCCGTATCCTCTCCAAGGTAGATCAACCCTCCCGTGTCGCATGTGCCTGGTAGGAGTCCAGAAAAAGCTCTATGTTATCGTCGTTGAAGGTAGGCGTAGACTCCCTCCCAGCCGGTCTGCGCGAGTCATCCCCTCCTGATGCTCCCTGAGGCCCCTGTCGTGGTCGCGCGCCCCTCCCGCCCCTCTGCATGGCCGTCTTCGAAAAGTCAGACCTGCACAACAGGCGAGAGAAAGCAAGCAGGCACACAACAAGGTTAGCCCTCGGTTCATCAAGTTTTTATAACAATACACACGCCTTTTCCTACTCCCTCACCTGTCCTAACCATAACATGGGATACCTCAAGGACCAGTCTACTCTGAGAAAGGTAGAATTCTTTTCCTATTCCCTGGCCACGAACTTCTTCAGCTTGGTTCCTGATACCCAATCCTGCCAGCCTGTCCCGTCCAGCTTCTCGATCTGATAGGCCCCAAATTCGCCGCATCGCAATATTCTATAGGGGCCCAACCATCTCTTGTCAAACTCCCTCGACCATTGCTTTTCCAAAGAGGAGTCGTATAATAATACGACATCCCCTACTGCCAATGACTCCTTTCTTACTCGTGCCATCTAGTCCCACCTCATCTTATCTTCCATACGACTCCTCTCCACCTGACCAGCGGCTTCTCGCAATCTTTCTTCGACCGCCCCCACTTGCCGCGCCTGAATATCGAGCAGTTCTTCGAAAGACAGGTTTACCTCCAAGTCATGGCACCTCCACGTCTTCATAAAGCTTTCTATGGGAAAGGTGGCATGCCTCCCGTACCATAGCGTGGTTGACGCGTACTTGGTAGTCCTCTTTACAGTAACATTCTCCACGAAGAACGCTGCCCGTAGGAACTTCGGCCACTGACCAGGTTTGCCCTCTGTCCACTTAGCCAGGAGATTCGTGATGGTACTGTGCCCCCTCTCCACAGGAGCGTTCGCTTGAGGGTGTGCGGCCGTAGTATAGTTGGCCACTACGTCGTACCCTGCAAACAACGTCCTCACCTCATTGCAAGTGAACTCTGATCCTCGATCCATCACGAACTCCCTAACAAAAGGGTATCGCAGGTAATACTCCTCGATGCAGTTCGCCAAAACCGGGTCAGTCTTCGTCCGGATAGCTCGTCCGTCCACAAATCCAGTAAGGTTATCCCGTGCATCGAAGATGTAGTTACACCCATTCTCCCCTGCTGGCATGAATAACAGGTCTAGGTGTACGACCGCACCCACTTCCCTTTCTAACCTTGGGTGTAGGGGTTCTCCTGGCCTTTGCGCTGACCTCTCTTGGCAAGGTATACAGGACCGACAATATTTGATAACCATCGTCAGCATCTCGTCCCAATGGTAGAGCTCGCTTATTTTCGCGCATGTGGCACCCACTCCTCTGTGCCCCCCTGCTATACCATCGTGTAGGGCCGCTATGATATCAATTTGTCGGTTTCTCCCACATACAATCCTCTTGGGGTTCCCGACCTGCCGCTTTATAAACAAGTGGCCGTCTCTTACCACATAGAGGTGTCTCATCTTCTGTGCCTTGACACTCGCATCTCTATCCCTCATCTCACATGATAGGAGCAACTCCTATTCCCGGTAGATCCCATCGTACTCCTCCGCCCGAAACGCCTCCTTGATTTCTCCTTCCTCGAATTCGTCGTTCCGGCTTTCAGGAACCAGAATCTCATTCTCCTCGTGACTGAACGAGCCCTTTCGGTCGAAGTCTCCTTGCAGGAGCGTATTGGTGAGCAGGTGCATCCCTCCCATTAGCTGCTCATGCTCCTCTACCTCAGTGGGGCCCTCCTCCATTGTCCTTACTTCCTCCATCAGACTATGCGTACCTGCCAACGCCAACTTCATCATCCAACCAACATCCTTACTTCCCCATGGATCCTCCTCCTGAAAGGGCTTGAGGACTAACTCTCCCTTCTGCTCGTACCCCTTTGGTGCCAGCCATATGGGGTGGCTGACACAACTGGGCACTCGCAGAGACCATTCGTTTATGTGCAGGCGGACGTCCTCCTCTTGGTCCAAAAACCCATCAACTAACGGTGTGTCTTCTATCGATTCTTCGTCCGATCCGTCCCAGTTGATGCGGCTTAACCCATCTGCCCTGTTCTTGTTCCCTGRGATCCTTTCCAGCTGGAAATTAAACATCCAAATGTAGGTCAACCATCTTGCGACGGTTGGGTCAGATGGAGTATAATTCTTCAGGGAACATGCCAGTGCAGTAGGGTCCACTCTCAAGATGAGCCTCCTGCCAGAAACATAGTTCCGGAAGGTCCTTAGGCAATGGAGTACCGCCAGCGTCTCCTTCTTGAACTGAGAGTGGTTCCTCTCAGTTGTATTGAGGGTACGACTTTCGAATCTTAGCGGCCTCTCCTTCCCCTCAGTATCTGCCTAAATCAGGACTCCTCCCAAGGCAGTTGGCCCAGCGTCCGTCTCAATGACGAATGGTCTTTCCTCCATGGCCTGATAGTTTGGCGCTCCCAATACCAAGCCTCCTTCCTTAAACTCTCCCTTCATCCTACCGACCGCCTCTTCCTGGTCTTCGCCCCAAGCCTATTCTTGATCCTGGCGCACCAGCTTCCTTAAATGCTCCGTCTTCGTGGCAAAGTCTTTCACGAAGCTCCTCCAAAATCCGCACGTCCCAAGGAAGCTCCTCACATCCGTTATCGAGCGGAAGGGCAACGACCACTCAAGGATCTTGTCTGTCTTTTTTACATCAGGCCTTCGCCCACTCTCATTACAGACAAAACCTAGAATCGTGGCCTCCCTCATACAATGCTTCGACTTGGGGCCGCTCGCCGTCAGGTTATGTTCGTCCAATAACCCCAGAACCTGATCGATGTCTTGGACATGCTTCCAGACAAAGCGCCGCACACCGAGCATCACTTTGTCTTCCTCCTTTTCCTTCGGACCCTTGACCGCCAGGTCATCGATATAGGGTTGAGTGATGTGTGGGCTGACCGTCTGCATGGCTCTGATCATATGCCTTTGCACCATCGCCACTGCATTCGTCCAACCTTGGGGCACCACGTTCATATGAATCAACCCTCTGGGAGTGTGCATTGCCGTTACGGGCCTGTCTGGCGGGTATATGGGGAATTGGTCATACCCCGAGTAGAGGTCTATAAGCGAGATTATAGGCCTCCCTGCGCACAATTCTGACAATGTGTCCGCATTCGGTAATCCTCCCGCGCCCCGCACTGTCACCGCATTTAGCCGCTGCAAGTCCTGCACCCACCTTAGCGTCCCATTTGGTTTAATAAAACAAAACCAAGGCGACGCGTACGACCCACTGGAATAATCAGCCACGTGCGTCCGCATCTTGCCGTCCAGGAAGTCCACCACCATCTTTTCCTCGTCCGGATTGGGGTACCGCGCGCCCCCTAGATTCCATGGCTCATGTGGGACCGTGTGGATCCTGATCATCGGGATCTTGTCCACATCCAGCCTCCCACGCTCGTCGTCGTTGAATGCATACGCGCGGTGCCTTTTCTTCATCAGCCCCACCATCAACGCCCTCTCCTGGGACGACAGAAAGTCGGGCTCCCCAATTATCAGCTTCCCCTCATTTTCGTCGTTGATACGACATGGTCCGGCCAACGCGCGCTCCCGCATACGCCGTATCAACCCTCGCTCCCACTCGTAGTAGGCTTCCTCATCCTCTGTGACGAGCACGAGAATTGGGCGACACTTCTTATCTATGGTCTTGTACCGCCTTTGGGAACCCTGCTTAAGCCCTCCCCTAAAAAAAGTCGACTTGTCGCTCGGGCCTGGGCCATCGCAGGGCCTCCCCTCCCTCCCAGAAGCCGATACACCAACTCCACCTCCCCCACCTGAGGGTTCTCCAAAACCTGTTCCCTCAATGCCTTAATGGCCTCCGGATCCGCCATGTCGTGAGCCGATACCACCTCCATGGCCTTATTCACACCTGTGAGGCTCAGTGTCAACACCTCAGCCTTATCCTCCTCCTCCGGCACTTCCCAAAGCCGTCTTCGCTCGTTCTCTGATTCCTTAAAGGTTAATGAGCCGAGATTGGGCCTATTCCTCCCGCTCCCCGGCCCCGTGTTTCGGCAAGTGACAACTTCGTAGTTCCCACACGCTGGGTCGCAAAGGAGCAGAATCATTGTCCCGTCGTGCTTATTAAAAATCAACATCTTCGTTCGACACAGGAACAACCTTCCCAGAAGGATGGGATGATCGACATCGGGCATGACGAAAAAGCACGTCCTGGCTCGCACCTTCCCAATCTCTATAATCACATTAGACGCCGTGCCATAAAAAGCGGCCTTGCAGTTGGGGCCATGCAGCATGCCATGGTCCGAGCGGTCGATCTCCATGCCTATCATTACCGCCTCCTTCTCCCTGATGATATTCATTTCTGCGCCCGTGTCCACCATCCCAGTGCACTTCTGGTTCTTTATCACCAAATCCACCTGCCCGTACGCCACACATTTCCAGTCCATCCTTGTCCTTGCCTCAGTCCACTCCACCTCCCTGGGCAGGACCGTACTCAGATGGACATTTGGCACCAACCTTCGCGAGAGTTGCCCTTCAACTCACCACGGAGCCTTGGTGGCGACGCCAGGATGTCCTTCAGGTTCATCAGGTCATTGTGGCCTTCTAGGAGCTTGTCCACCATCCGCTCCACATCAAAACCTTCCGCCATCCGAACCGCGTACTTCTTCCTCTTAGGTACGCTGTCGGGTAGGCTCGGCTCGGCCTCCTCCCGGGCTCCTCTCTTTTTGGCCCTCAGCTCCGCCCGCTGATCCTCCTCTTGTCGAGGCCTCTCATCCTCTTCATCGTCATCCTCTTCCTCTTCCTCCGGGACCTCCACCACCTCTTTCCTACGTTCTGGCTCAGGCTCCTTTCGAGGGGGCGCCTGACTGGGCTCTTGGCTAGGCCCGGCCTTGTTTTGGCTCCTAGTCCGAGCCGCCTGCGGTACCCTGCCATGCGACGTGGGGGGTCTGTAGGCCATACCTGACCTAGGGCCCGTCCCTACATTCGCCACTCTTGGGCACCCTTGTTGTCCTGGCGAAGGCTCTGGCCCAGAGTCATAAAGGAAGACCTCAGGCAGGTTGGCCTCTCGGGCTTCTTCACACAGGGCTTGCAGCTTCTGCTGGTATCTCCCCACTTTTTCCAGCGGATCTCCAATCCTTCCCAGGAGGAGTGTGGTCGGCTCTCCTTCGCCTTCCTTCCCCTCATCATCCGATTCGATGACTATTGGCTCCTCCCTTATAGCCCCTGCCTTTAGTCGCTGGTTGAACTCCTCGTTATCCCCCACAATCTCCTCGATCCTTACGGTCGGCTCTTCCTTCTCTTGCCACATCCTAAACATCGTCGGGGGTGCTGTGGGCCCCGCTGCTGCTCGCTGGAGAGCCTCTTGCCTGATTCCTCCCGGGGTTCTGGGGTCAATATGCTCACCCCACTTATCATATATGTCCCCGTCCATACAAGAGGAGATTAACCCTGACAATTCATCCTCCCGCCGCCGCTCGCAGAACCGCACCGTGTGGCCTACATCGCCACAATGCCAGCAGGTGGCATTTCGCCAATCAAAGCGGGGCCTCCCATACCCTTGGCCCCCTCCCTGGCTGCCTCAGCCACCTTGGTCTGGGCCCCTTTGACCATTCCAACCACATCCGCGACCCCCACCATTTCCTCCTCGGCCCCGGCCACCACCTCCTCGACCCCCTTGATTTCGGCCTCCATTGCCTTGTCTGCCTTGTCCTTGGTTTCCTCCCCCGGCCACGCTGACCTGCGAGTCCTGTTGGGAGGGAGGTGGTTGGGCCACAAACTGACCCTGGGCTGCAGAGTAGTTCGGGGGCCCCATACTTGCCGCTGGGCCCGCGTAAGGGACCATTTGCCTGCGCTAGGTTTGACTACCCCCGCACGAGGTGCAGTGATTACAACTGGGCCAGGATGTAGGCTGACAGTGCGGCACACAATGCCCACAAGCCGGCGGCGGCCCCATACATGACGGCCTGACCGTCGCTGACGTTGTCGTGGCAACAGGTGGCGGCGCAACAATCGCTTGCGGGACCTGCCCTTTTCCGGATCCTTGACCCCCCACTTGTAAATTCCGCTGCTTTCTCTTGGACTTGGTTAGGATCTGGGAGCCCGTCTCTTCTCCGCCATTGTGCATAGCCTCCTCTTCCACTGCCCCCGACGCCCGGCCTTGGGCTACGGTCACTCCCCTCTTTTGCACTTCCGCCTCATTATCATACCCCAGCGCTGCCAATACGTCCGTGACGATCCTCTTCACCACTGGGGTCCCGGATGCGGTGGCGTCCCTTTCCTTTCTCTTGCGCCTTTGCAGCCGCACCTGGTGCTGCTCCACCTGGTCCACAATCACCTCTTCCACCCCTTTGTCGATAGTGGCCCAGGTGAGTTTCTCATTTCCCCCCCCGTGACCCGTCAGCTCCGAGGCCTCCGAGCCAGTAAGCAGACCCAAAAATATGGCACACTGGGTTTCTTCGGAGATCCCGTGCACCTTCCGCGCCTTCCTTTTAAACTCGTGCACAAACGCCCCAATCGTGGAGAAGTCATCCTTGTTCATGGCTTCCAAATCCGCCATGGTCAGCAACCCATCCCCCAACCTGTATTTTCTCTGCATCATGTCCCTGAACCTCGCCCAACTACCATTGGCAGCATCCACGACCTTGCCCACTTCCTGATGGTGGCTATGAAGGACATATCTTAGGACCCGCTAGAGCTTGACCTCGTCCGATCGCCCCGCAAGTGCTTGCTTCGTCACGTCCAGCCCGTCGGACACCCGTTCTCCCTTGAAGTGGAAAGTATCAACCTTCGGGACAAATGCGGTCAGGTGCATTGCTGTTATTGGAGTATTATCGAAGAGGGGGAAAGGAAGAATGATACGTACCTAGCAGGCCAGCAGGATGCGAATGAGCCTATTTGGGCTCGACGATCGATTAAACCAGGCCTAAACAGGGGAGCGGGCATGGAAGAGGAGTGAGTGAGAGGCCACGAGGTAGAGGTTTGAAGACGGGTAAATCCGAGGTTGAAGTCGGATTTGTGGCTGGGCGGATGGACTTGACGGGATGGGGGTTCGAGGACTGTGTACTAGGGAGGCAGGAGAGATAAAACTGTATTTTTCTGAGTTATAGCAGAAGATTCATTTCATCTTCTGCGGATCGGCAACGACAGTATTGTCGTATTGGCCATAGTAATAGTTGGTACTAACATCACTGGTCACATGAGTTGTCACCTGCATGGGTAGTCTATATGGTCTGGCTCTTCATTGCTGTCGTCAAGGTCAAGCCCTGAGGGAGTAATCGACTGCTGCGAGGGGCTGTCGCATTGGGCCTCCGTTGTGTTGTGCGTACGCTATATAGCACTATGTTGGCATCTGGCTTACGCTAAGCATTGTTGTAACCGGGCACTGACCACGGTAGGGCCTCGCAGAGTGGTGCTGCTGGTCATCGTGATCTCCACTGGCAGCTACGAAAATTGGTTATTAGTACTGTTGCGATAACACTAAACTGTGCAGCGCTATTTGTGCTTCTACTCGAAGCCCGGCCCATGCGTCTCAGTTGCGGTTTGCATTGGCGAGCGAAAGGAGAGTACAGTGCCGATCTGCACAGTGCGGGCAGTCACGGGGGCAGTAGCAGTTTGGGTGCAAAGAGAGAGGAAAGACCATTACGGCCAAGCCGACGGAAAAGTAGGTTGTTGCTTGCAGTATTGAGCGGTATATTCGATCGCAGGGAGTACTACTGTGTCTGTGTACTCAATACGTTGCAGTCAGGTGGTACCGTTCCAACTGATGGGTAAGCCGCGTGGATGCTGAGAAGGCTGCGCCTCCATAAGTCCGTTGGGTGGCTAGTACTCACCAAGCGACTGATTACTTTGACCTGCGTGTCCTCTGCGACGGCAGTACGGTGCTTGCTGGGCTGGTTGACGACCGTACGAACTGTTGTGTATCGACTGTATCTGTTGTAGCTGGGTCTGTTTCACTGATTATGCACAGAGAAAACTGCTAAGGGTTGTTGCTGATTCCCCCTGCCACTGTGCTATGGCATATTACGGTTCCATAATTGCGTGCCCTGTTGCTCATCTCTGACTGCGGAGTCAGCTATAGTGTTGCTTGAGTTTTCTGCGGGCTACTACGCTGTTCAAAGTACGGCGGCCGTTTGGAGAAGTAGGACTGCGGCTTCATGTCGGGAAGTAAAGGTGTAGTGTACAAAAAGTGATTGGACTGCAAAGAGGGTTGCTGCCACAACTTGGGGAAGGGGTGAAAGAGGGGGGTTGTTACTGCAATTGGGAGTTCGTCAAGGGAACTGGGCTCAGTAGTTGGACTTTGGGGTTGACCAAGTTGTTACACTTGACCACCATTGTGGGGCCCTCAGGCGCTGAAGATTTGAAGGCCCTCTCACACGAGTCTGAGTGCACCCCTCTTGTATCTGATAGATTTAATGATTATTTTTCTGCTTTTCTTACTTTAAGTCTAGTCCATTGGAAGGCGGCAGGCGGGATTGCAACCCGTAATCCGCGCCAAGGCCTCTGTGGGAGGTTTGCTCCACCGATTGCGGGAACTCTGCCGGAACTCAGGAGGAGTTCTGGAGGCAGGGAACTGAAAGGTAACCATTGCTTCCCCTCTATAAACCCAATTATAACCCCTATCTGTACATATTTCTATGTTTTGACTGAATATCTTGCATGCATCCTGTACTTTGACTTTAGCTTGACTTTCAAGACATAAACCAGACTAAGTAAAGGAGAGTATGTATAATGGCAGTTTCAGTTTTGTTTTGTTTGTCTGAAAGCACATTATAACAAGGGGTTGCATCAGGGGGAAGGCTGGGAGGAAGGCAGTTTTGCTTGTGCTTGAACGGGTCTTATAGGGTCAACATTGTCTCTAAGATGAATGGCCTGACTGTTGTGTTTTGTTCTGTTTTCTGAAGGGTCAAACATTGTTTCTAAGACGAATGGCTTGGTCGCTGTGTTTATTTAATTATGTCAGACATTGTTTCTAAGATGAATAATCTGGCTACTTATTTTGAGGGGTATTGATTGCTTGAGTTTTGAGGACAAGACATTGTTTTTAAGGTGAATGGTTTAGTCGCTGTTTATTTTGGGTGGTTTCTGAACAGTCTCTGGGTCTTGACCCAGGGTACTCTGTTTTTTTTTATGAGAGGAAATGGGTTGAGCATTGTTTATAAGACGAATAGCTCAACCCTTTTTTTTGTTTTGTTCTGAGGGAGGTTCAGGCCAAAGGACTAGACATTGTTTATAATATGAATGGTCTAAGTCTGAGGCCACATGACTATAATGAGAACAAAGGAATAAGATTCTCTATAATCCTATATATATATATATATGTGAGAACAAGGCTAGCCAGATATTGTTTCTAAGACGAATAGTCTGACTACAGCCTTATCACGAAGAAAGGGAGAGTATAACTAAGAGTTATAATTGAAGGTAATTTGGGCAGGTTGAGCATTGTTTCTAAGACGAATGACTCAACCCTACGCTCACTTCTGAAAATAGAGTTCAGAGAAATATATATAACTTGGCTATTTAAACAGTTCAGGGCGATTAAGCATTGTTTCTAAGACGAATGACTTAGTCATATGCCCAAAGAAAAGAGAAGTAGTTGTGCAACCTGTTCGTGTATAAGTAAGGCAAAGAATTGGAATTGTTTCTAAGACGAATGGTCAAACTCAATGCCCTATGTAAGCAGGGTATAAGGGGTTAAATCATTGAGAGACTATGAACTATTGTTTGTCAAAGGTAATTTGGGTTGGTGAGAGTACTTACCCTTGTGGTTTGACTTGCATGTGGCTGAGTGAGATTGCTACCTAGTCAGAGTTTCAATTTGATAGGTAGTTGTTTTAGTGGCTCGCCACGTGCTAGAGGGATAGGAGTTAGATTCAATTCCTGCATTTTCTGTGATAGTTCTTTTTTACTTAGATCAATTTTTGCATTTTCTGAGATCACTTATTATACTTGGGCTTGTATAAATCTTGGTAGGTCACTTTCCCTACGGGAAGTGCTGCCGAAATTTCTGCAAATCCAAGGAGTTAAACAAAATTTGACTTTCGGCAGTCAAGGACTATTTCTGTTTTCATATTTGGACTTATATAAATTTTGAAAAGACATTTTTCCTATGGGAAGCGTTGCCGAAATTTTCTTAGTTTAGAGGAGTTAGATTATATTTTGACAGGTGACGACTCTGGTAATCCACCATGGATAGGGGAAATTATGTCATGAGTCTACCTTTCTTTGGGCACTGACTTAGAGGTAGGCTCAGACTTATGTGAGCATAACGAATTTGGTAAGATCATGATGAGGAAATTAGTCTCTATGGACTTATAGGTTTAGTCTTGGGCATTGACCTGTCTTGTGTTACAGGTCGTCGTGATCGATTTGGTTCAGGACTTGGACTAGGTTCAGTTTGATCCCTTGAGGATCACCTTCTGTTATCACTGATAACAGGTCGGTTGTCGATTCGTCGGTTTACGACTCAACTCCAATTCACCCTCAATACTCAACCTAAAAGGTTTTAGCCCCGGTGATTTTATTATTTTATAAAGGTTTTTCCCGGACTTTTATTGAATGGCCATTTAACAAAGGTACTGAGTATTTAATTATAGTTAGTTGGACAGAGGTTGGGGCTTGTATGACTAAAGCGAGGGGTATGGGTACAGAGAGTAGTTGGAGTTGACTCCGTGTAGTGCATGGACTCTTATTTGACTCTTTGATGTAATTGCATGTATGTTCTGTGGTTCGGATTTTCGATTGTGCTTCCTGCGATCGCACATATATATATGGCTGTAAGAAGTCTCACTGTGATTGTGAGAAGTGATCGTCACATATTTATCCCCCTATATATATGTATATTTATATCGGGTGTTCGTGTGGCCTGAGTGGGCCTCACTTAAGGGTAAAAATCGGGGTTGGGATCGAGGAAAGATAGAAAACCCCCTCTACAGTGTTGTATGCTTCTTAGGGATTTCTTAGTTGGACGTTAATCCTGGGCCTGGATTCAAGTCCTTGTCCAGAACATCCCAGACCCTAGACTCTGCAGGGAAGGAATCTTCCCCTGCGCAGAGCCTATCGGCCCTGCTCGTCGAGACACCCAACCCTAAGGGCAGAAATGTCGCAATGGCTGAACGACATGTCCTTCAGCCGTTCAATATCGTGAAGGGCAACCCCTCACGATATATTCCTTCAGCCCTTCAATATCGCGAGGCCGAAACTGAGATTGCCTCGTCTGACTAGCATCGTCGGTTGATGTAGGAAGGGCTTCCAACCACGCAACCTTATATCAAAGTCTTGCTCGCGACGTTCGCCCGTCCTAGTGTCTAGAGTTATGGGATTAAGGGATTTGTACATATACATGTGTGCCCAGAACCAGTATCGGTGGTTGGTGCCAACCAAAAAGGTTACCCAAGGTTGTGATTTTGGGATGGGGAGACTTTCAATCTATTTTTACTTTTTAAGAGTTATTATAGTTGGACGTTGTCGAGCCCATCGGTCCGGCACCGCACAAGGGCAGCGCAGGACCCTCCCGGCCGCGTCACGCAGGAGGTGGACTTAATCCTCGTCGCGATACATACTTGGAGCTTCTGCAAGCCACTCCGGCCGAGTGCGCCAGCCATACCTCTCGCAAGCCCCTACGACAGGATAGTGCCTACGCGAGGCACGACTTACCTCCACCTTACGGGAGCTGTCACCTCCC